GCTAATGCAAGAACGCTAAAAAAAAAAAATGTGTTTTTTTTACACACGACTTTACATAGCTAACGCTACCAGCATTATTAACCACTTGCCCTCCTGAGGATTTACCCCCCTTAATGACCAGGCCTCTTTTTGCTACTCGGCGCTGTACTAATTCAACTGATAATTGCGCGGTCATGCAATGCTGCACCCAAACGAAATTTACGTCCTTTTTTTCACACAAATAGAGCTTTCTTTTGGTGGTATTTGATCACCTGTGCGCTTTTTATTTTTCACACTATAAACAAAAAAATGACCAAAAATTTGGAAGAAAAACGATATTTTTTTACTTTCAGCTATAAAAAATATATAGTAAACACAAAGTTGGTTATAAATTTAGGCCAAAATGTATTCTGCTCCATGTTTTTGGTAAAAAAATCCCAATGAGTGTATATTGATTGCTTTGTGTGAACGTTATAGCGACTACAAACTATGGTATAGATACTGAAATTTACGCCATTTTTTTTTGCTATACAGCGCTGCGCTAAACAGACAATTGCGCGGTAATGTAATACGGTACATAAATGAAATTTATGTCCTTTTTTTCACACAAATAGAGCTTTCTTTTGGTGGTATTTGATCGCCTGTGCGTTTTTTGTGCTATTAAAAAAAAAAAAAAGGCTGACAATTTTGAGAAAAAAAAAACAATATTTTGGACTTTTTGCTATAAAACATGTCCAGTAAAAAAAAAAATGTAAAAATCAAATTTCGTCATAAATTTCGGCCAAAATGTATTCTGCGACATGTCTTTGCTAAAAAAAAAACCCAATACGTGTAAATTAATTGGTTTACGTGAAAGTTATAGCGTTTACACATGGCGGGAAAGATACTCCGATTTTTAATTTTTTTTATACTAATAATGGCGGCGATCAGTGACTTATGGCGGCGATCAGCAACTTATGGCAGGACTGCGGCGGACATTCTGACACTGAGGGGGAACTGATTTGGGGTCACTGACATCCCCATTGACACCAATACAGTGATCACTGCAAAAAAAAAAAAAAAAACAGACACTGTACTAATGGCACTGGGGAGGAAGGGGTTAACTTTTTTATTCACTGAAAGGGTTAACTGTGTGAGGGGAGTGTTTTACTAGGGGGCGGGGGGGTGTAGGAGAGATAAACTCTTCTCTCCCATCAGCCTGTCAGGGAACTGACAGAAAGCAGAGCTACTGCAGCCCTGCTCTCTGTCAGTGATTGCCGCTAATCAGCGGGACACAGCCGGGTAATGACCGGCTGTGACCCATTGACTGACATCTGCGGCCGGAATTGGCAGTGCAGGTAGGGCGGCGGCGTGCCTCGTGCGTGCCCCCCACCTGTTTTGCAAAAGCGCATTTTAAAACGTGCTTTTGCCCAGCCGTGCCACCCTGCCGCCGTATTTCTACAGTGGCTGGGCGGCATGTGGTTAAAACGCCCCGTGTACATGGAGCCTTATGATGACAATACCTAACTTAGCAACTCTTGCACAACACAGCCATACTGGCCAAAATACAGTCTCCAATGATAGTTTGTTCCTTAGATGCAACTAAGCTCATCAGAGGTAAACTACACAGGCAGGGCAACTGAGCTGTTAAAAGATAGACTCAACTTAAAAAAAAAAAAAAAAAAAACTAAGAAAACACTGTGCAGAATGGTCAGTTTAAAGCCATACCATTAGTCCACGACGTACAATCCCAAAGCCTGCCAGAAAAACTCCCACTGAAGGAAGCATGAGCTGCCCAAGTTCTGGGACACTCTGACCACTAGGTGCTCACCCCTGGCATCCCAGAATACAGCATGTTTCCCCATTCCAAACCCATGAGTGGTGTTGCTTACCAACATATTACATAGTTGTGTTTGGGTTTAGATACATTAACACTTTAAATTACTTTCTTGCTATTATTGAATCTGTGACAGAAAAAGGAGCCATTGAGAACAGCAACATGCGTTATACTCTGAATAATGTGCGCTGAAAAGGAGGAGGGCACGATGTGTTGTGACAATGTTTTTGTAATCCAAATCAGGAGAGCAGCCTACTCCTCTCTGCCATAGATACAGTAAGTGATTGTTAATAGCCCAAGACAAGAAGTGATTGCGACAGGATCACCGTGTAAAAAGAAAAGAAAAACAAGCCTGAACAAAGAAAGCCGGTGGAGCTATGACATCTAAGGACTGGTAAGCGGCAGTATTACATTTTTGTTCTGGGGATTAGTTACACTTTGAATTATATTCTTGCTATCAATTTGTGGCAGATGAGGGAGCTATTCACAACAACATGTATTATAATCTTTATAATTTGCAGCCGTTGGCGTGCGCTGTGCAGGAGCAGTGCAATGTGGTATGCGGCATCACACTGTTTACTTTTGTTTTTGCAACTTTACTGAGGTGTCGCAAAATATTTCATAACTTTTATTGCACTGCAATGCGTTGTGATGGAACATGTGCATTGCAACCTGCTGCATTTTTACTTTCTTTCCCAGTGCACACCAATGCAGAGTGCTGGTGTGAACTAAACTAATAGGACACAAGACAAATTGCGCCACATCCCTTGTCTCTCAGTACGGGGTCCTACTGTCGGTCAGAAACCCGCGATGCCAAAACAGTGTTTCTTCTTTTTTTGTTTTGGTTTGTTTTTTTTTAAGAATGTCATCAGCAGACAGCTGCTTCTTCTTCTTTATTCTCAACCAGTCCATACATTGAGCCTCTGGCCTCATATTGTGCATGTACTACAATATAATCATATGATTAAAAAAAAAAAGAAATGTCGTACGCCACATGATGTCATATACTCGTCTGATGCAAACACCATGTGGCATTATCGGTTTTAGAACAAAAAAAAAAAGTTTTTATTCCCAAGAATAAAACCTTCCCAGGGAGCATCTGGGAGGCTGTCACTAAGGCGCCTTTTTTTTTTTTTTGCTATCAGTTCAGTCACCTTTTTTCCCAAGAAAAAAAACGGATCAGTTCAGTTCACGTCCGTTCCATTTTTTGTAATAGAAGTAAAATAGGGTTTTCTTCCATTTAAAAAAAAAAAAAACCGATGTTAACAGATGCGGATATTAACAGATGTAAACAGATTATCCGTTTACATCCACTAGTCCATAGAAACACATGGGTATCCATTTTTCCTCCATAAACAGATGAAAAACGGACATATGGAACGCCTGTAGGAAAGGATGGCCTATTAAAACCAGGTCCCTGCTCCCCCCTCCCAAACAATATGTCCAAAAGTTGGCGGGGGTTTAGAGGAGTGGAGAAGCAGAATATCCCCTTTTGAATTAAGTTCTTCCTGGAAGCACTAGGGTCATTGATTTCAATCCCAACCACAGCACTACCAGCATGGAGTTTGCATGTTCTTCCTGTGCCTGCGTGGGTTTCCTCTAGGTACTCCGGTTTCCTCCTACACTCCAAAGACATGCTGGTATGTTAATTGGCTCCCATCTAAACTGACCCTAGTATGTGTATGTATGAATGTGAGTTAGGGACCTTAGATTGTACACCCCTTGAGGGTTAGGGACTGATGTGAATGTACAATATACTGTATATGTAAAAGTGCTACGAAAATTGACAGCGCTATACAAGTACTTGTAATTAATAAACAAAGAACTGTCAAAATTACATGTAAAGAGGACACACCTAAGGGCCAATTCACAGGATCCTACACCAGAGTGGTTCAGAGTGTGGGCACCAGCAGTTTCAGCTGCAACTACGTGCAGGGGGAGCGGTGTGATGACGACATTTTCCCACATCACACGGCTCCCTTTCTTTTTGAGTGAACTTTATGTGGATCACTTCATTTATCTCACTGCACAGCAGTGCCATCCAGAGAGGTGAGACATGTAGCATATTATCACACAGCTTTGGAGTGCAGGCAAACTCCACATTCTGGTGTGAGCCAGACACACAGAAAACAACTGTTGTCTGTGTGTCCCTGCAGTTCTGTATTTATCCATGAGGAAATCTGTCTGTAAGTCCACACAGTGTGAACGACATAAACAATCTCTTCACCTGGTGGCCACTCAGGCAGGCCCCTTGTACTACATAACTGGTGGCAGATCTATGTCTACATTCACACTAAAGCCTAGTATACACAAAAAAAATTGTAAAAAAAAAAAAAATGCTGCTTTCAAATTGATCGTACAATAATCTGATCGATAATACAGCTTTCATCCAAAATAATTAGAAGGGACAAGCACGGAAATTTATCTTGTACGATACCAGATTGTACGATTTTTGTTTAATCAGTACAGTTTTCCTTTGAAAATAAAAAACAAATACAATACATAACTTCAGATTCTGAAGTTTTATTGAACGATCACATAGTTACAGCAAGGCAATGTTTCAGAGTCTCGCAGGACCTCCTCTTCAGGCATGTTGAAGGGGTCCTGCGAGACTCCGAAATGTTGCCTTGCTGTAACTATGTGATCGCTCATTAAAACTTTTGGCCCCATATTGGTGATCCTCGGTGTGCTGGTGACATTCTTCTCCCTTGCTGATTCTGTTTGGTTCTAGCCGACGGTCACTGCAGCACCCACTTATACACACAGCCATTTTTACCGCAGGAACGTGTGCGTTTGGATTGTACACATGCATTCTAGTCAAGATGGCGGCGCCAGCACCTGACAGCCAACTAAAGAATCGGCTTGGGGTGAGGACACCGCTGGATTCCTGGACAGGTAAGTGCCCTAATATTAAAGTGTTACAAAACCCACAACAGTAAAATCAGTCTATATATGCAGTAAAGCATGCCTGTTATACTCACTGTGGAACCTAAGGGGCTAATCCTTTGCATTGTGTAAAAACGCTGTTTGATTCTGACTTCTCTGATCCTCCCCTCCTTCCAATGTCCCCCTCTTATCCCCTGATAAAACATCCTGTGGAGTCACTATGCACATGCTCACTTTAGTATGTATTGCTAGAGTTTTGTTTTTCTCGGGAGAGTGCATGTGATCGGCACAGAGCCAATCAGCACTGTCCAGGCAGAGGTCAGGGGTTCTGCATCCTCCTAGAGAATGAAAACTCCTCCTACAAGCTTTAACCAGTGCTCGGCTGGACACTGATAGAAGTCACAAGACTGCTCTAACTGCTGATGAGAAAAGGTATTTGGCAGTTTATAATTACTAAAATAATTGCACTTCTATGTTGTGTGTACTGTGGGAGACCAGATATAGTGAATGCAGGGTCCTGGGTTTAGTAACACTGTAAAGGTCAGCTACAGTATTTGTAGCTGCTAACTTTTTTTTTTTTGGGGGGGGGAGGGGGACAGAACTCCACTTTAATAAGGTGAAAGGGCTTCTTTTGTGTAACAAACGCATGAAGGGGCAGTCCATGCACAACACATGTAAATGAATGTAAGACACCCCCAAAAATCCCGAGCAGGAATGTGCGCTCCTGGGACGGGAAGTGTGGCTGTACACACTTTGATTTTATCATCCAATTGAATGGGAAAGCAATCCAAAAAGTCATAACATCCCTTCCGATTGATTTCTAATCAAGTCAATCAGCCAGGGCAGAAAGCGGTCGATTGATGGGCAGCGCTGAGACACTTTGAGTCCCCATTATACTTTGACAGATCAGATGATGAAGTTGTATGGTGGAAACAGAGAGGCGATCAATAGCTTATAGCCGTGATTTCCTAATACCAATGGAAGCGCCTTTCCCCCGTGTGGGTCATGTAGACTGGGTGATGGACTAGAGATCAGTCGTCAGTGATTCCTGGAATGAGTGGTGGTGTATGTCTGGTGAAGTTCATTCTAATCCCTCACTGTATATCAGGGCTGACTCCCATGTCCTGGGAATGGAGGTGACAGCAGAGGTGCACACAGAGTTCAGGAAGAGTGAAGGCTGACACACTCGGCATATGTTATGGAGTGCAATGTGCAGCACACGTGTCCCTGTCCCCGGCCTCCCTCCCCTCTCTGGGACTCCATGTCGGTGGTCTCCCCCCCGCAACCACCCACCCAGCCTCAGCTCCCTCTCTCGCCCTGTTACCTCTCTCTCAGCTTCTCACCCGAAGCGAATCCACAAGCCCAACAACACAAGATGGCTGACGCCACGCACCGTCACCTGACGACTCCACGCCTCGCGTGAGCAGTGACAGAGCAGCGTGCCAGCACTTCCACCACACACACTTCCCTTCCTCCGCGAGAACGACGGGATACTTCACGTACGAGTCGTCACTGGGGCCTTCCCAGTCTGCTGGGGAGCCAGCGGCCCACGTGATCCGGCCAGCAGCTCGTAGCCACCCAGCGGCCATAATGGATGTGGGCAAGATGCCCACATGCCTGTCATTTCCTATTACAGGATGTCAGCGAAGGGGAGGAAGTGAGGCAGAGGTGTTTCATTAATTATTTTGTCGCAGCAAAAAGTTGGTTGCGCCGAAGAAAGAGAAATTCCAAGGCAGGAGAGAGGGCAATGAGGTGCCTGTTGTAAGGTCCTGTCAGGACACATCAGAACAAATGTTGTATTCTATGCAGAAATAATGTTTGCCCCCCTCCCCCACCTTCTGCCCTAGAATTAACCACTTGAGCTCTAGAAAGTCCCCCCCCCCTTCATGAACAGATCATTTTTGCTATTCAGCACTGTGCTACTTTAACTGGTAATTGCTCAATAATGCAATGCTGTACACAAATTAAATTTACATGTGCATCTCAATTAGAATATCATCAAAAAGTTAATGTATTTCATTGATTCAATTCAAAAAGTAAAACTCATATACATTCATTACACACAGAGTGATATATTTCAAGCATTTTCTATTAATTTTGATAATTATGAAAACCCAAAATCCATTATCTCAGAAAATTAGAATAGTACATAAGACCAATGAAAAAAGGATATTTAATACAGAAATATTGGCTTACTGAAAAGGTATGTCCATGTGCAGTATAGTGTGCACTCATTATTGGTCGGGGCTCCTTTTGCATGGAGGCGATCAGCCTGTGGCACTGCTGAGGTGTTATGGAAGCCCAGGTTGCTGTGATAGTGGCCTTCAGCTCATCTGCATTGTTGGGCCTGATGTCTGTCATCTTCCTCTTGACAATACCCCACAAATTCTCTATGGGGTTTAGGTCAGGCGAGCTTGCTGGCCAATCAAGCACAGTGATATCACGATCATTAACCGGTTCCGCGCTGCCCTATAACAGAAATACTGCTACAGGGCAGCAGAGGTGCGCAAAATCACCTATATATAGGGGCATGTGCGCCCTACACGCACCGCCATTCGTGGCCTCAGCTGCCAATCACAAGGTCCCAGCAGGCACCCAGTGATCGCCAAGTATCTCCGACAGGGGAGAAACCTGTGTATAAACAACATAGATCTCTCCCGTCAGCTCCTACACACTGGTTTGTACAAAGCAATGTGCATACAGTGAAGCACACATAGTGAAACAGCAAATAGTTAACCCTTTGATCGCCCCACATGTTAACCCCTTCTTGCCCAGTGTCATCAGTACAGTGTCAGTATTTTATTAGCACTGATCACTGTATTGGTGTCACTGGGGATGTCAGTGACACCAAGACAGTTCCCCCCAGTATGCCTGCCACAGTCCCGCTATAAGTCGCTGATCGCCGCTATTACTAGTAAAAAAATTTCCAGTGCCGCCATTTGTAAACTGTATAACGTTCACGTAAACCAATACATTTGCATTAATTGGGATTTTTTTTTAGCAAAGAGATGTTGCAGAATACATTTTGGCCTGAAATTTATGATGAAATTAGTTTTTTTTTTTTTTTTTTTTACTGGACATGTTTAACCACTTGCCTGGCATTATACCCCCTTCCTTACCAGGGCAATTTTCAGTTTTCAGCGCTGTCGCACTTTGAATGACAATTGCGCGGTCATGTAACATTGTACTCATGAAATATTTATTCTTTTTTTCTCACAAATAGAGCTTTCTTTTGGTGGTATTTACTCGTGGCTGGGTGTTTTGCATTTTTTGCGCTATAAACAAAAAAAGAGCAAAAAAATAGAGCAAAAAAAAAAAAAGTTTCTTTGTTTCTATTATAAAATTTTGCAAACAGGTAATTTTTCTCCTTCACTGATGTGCGATGATGAGGCTGCACTGATAGGCAGCACTGATGGGCACTGACAGGCGGCACTGATAGGCAGCACTAATTAGGCGGCACAGATGATAGGCGGCACTGATGAGCTGGCATTGATGATGGGTACTTCTGGTCGGCACTGATAGGTGGCACTGCTGTGAACTGACTGGCGGCACTGCTGGGCTGCACTGATGGGCACTGATGGGTGGCACCGATGGGCACAGGTGGGCACACTGATGGGCACAGGTGGGGGCACAGATGGGTGACACTGCTGGGCACAGGTGGGCGGCACTTGTGGGCAGAACTGGTGGGTGGCACTGCTGGGCACTGATCATCAGGGCACTGATCATCAGTGCCCTGATGATCGGTACCGATCCCTGCTCTGAAATCTGCCGGTTCTCAGCAGTACTTTCCTCCCGCGTCGACAGCGTGAGGAGAGTGCAGCCAAGAACTGGCAAATGCATTTCCGGTGATTAGCGTGTCATTGGACACAGCTGATCACGTGGTAAAAGGCCGCTGTGATTGGCCTTTTACCACATCACGTGATCAGCTGTGTCCATAGGACACAGCAATCACAGAGATCGCGGGGGGTGCGCAGGATAGCGCGTTTTGGGAGATCTTCATATGACGGCCTCCCAGAACTGGACAGCCGCAATGTAGCCGTCATTCGGCTACCTGCAGTCGGCAACTAGTTAATAGCACAAAGTTAAAAAAAAACAGTTTTTTTTCTCAAAATTGTCGGTGTCTTTTTGTTTATAGTGCAAAAAATAAAAAACGCACAGGCGATCAAATACCACCAAAAGAAAGCTCTATTTGTGGGGAAAAAAGGGGAAAAAAAAGGAAAAAAAAAAATTTATTTGGGTGCAGCATTGCATGATCACGCAATTTACAGTTAAAGAAACGCAGCGCCGTATTGCAAAAAATGGCCTGGACAGGAAGGGGGGGGGAAATCCTCAGGAGGGCAAGTGGTTAAACCAAGTATTGGTAGTTTTGGCAGTGTGGGCAGGTGCCAAGTCCTGCTGGAAAATGAAATCAGCATCCCCATAAAGCTGGTCAGCAGAGGGAAGCATGATGTGCTCTAGAATTTCCTGGTAGAGGTCTGTGCTGACTTTGGACTTGATAAAACACAATGTACCAACACCAGCAGATGGCATGGTTCTCTAAATCATCACTGACAGTGGAAACTTCACACTGGACCTCATGCAACTTGGATTCTGTGCCGCTCCACTCTTCCTCCTGAATCTGATTTCCAAATGAAATGCAAAATTTACTTTCATTCGAAAAGAGGATATTGGACCACTGAGCAACAGTCCAGTCCTTTTTCTCCTTAGCCCAGGTAAGACATGGAATGTGACAGTTGTAGCCCATGTCCTGGATACGTCTGTGTGTGGTGGCTCTTGAAGCACTGACCCCAGCCATGCTGCACTCTTTGTGAATGGCCTTTCCTCCACAATCCTCTCAAGGCTGTGGTTATCCCTGTAACAAACTAGCTCATCAGAGCTGGAAGCGGAGTTCTTCTTTTTCTTGTTCCTTCTGTTATTTGAGGTATTCCTGGATCATTCCTCACATCCCCCCTTTCCAGTCCTGAGAGACCAACGTTATCTCCTGACAGATGGTGGGGGTCAGCCCAGGAGAAACATTCCTGGTGGGGCCAGCAGGCTGGGAAAACTGTCACCTTTCTCACCTACGTCTGATAAGGCCGCATTTCTCAGAGGGCTGGGAAGCATTGACCCAAAACGGCGTAAGCCCACACATTTTCAAACTGACCAGAGTAATTGCACATTCCTCAGGTCAACCGTATCTTTCATGTCATGTATTATGAAGCTATAGTTAATTCAGAGTTTCCCACTGACCACTCCCAAAACGTGTAGTCAGAGCCCCCCCCCCTTTGAGAGGGACTTTTAAAATGAGACAAGTGAGTTAAAGCAAGACACACACACACAGAGGTCTCCCAGCAACATCGTAACAAAAGGAGATCAAGAACTCACCCTGCTCTATAACTTGGATCTGCAAACCCAGGCATATGGGCAAGTAACTTAACCCCTGTAATCTTCTTCCTAATTATCTCTTTGCTGTGTCTTTATATACATATATATATTTTTGTGACATCTCTTTGTAAATATTGTCTTGCACCTGTTTTGACCCTTTTAGTAATAAATCTTTC